GCCGGAGAATCCACCTAGAAGCTAGAGGGAGAAACAGATAAGCCTCACCAGACGCAAGTGCTGGTAGAGGTGGCTGCAACGACATGATCCGCAGCCAGGCCCAAACCTAAGATAAAAGGTTGATGTAAAATTTATGAGTCATTTCGACCATATAGAATTCGGAGAAATGAACAGAGTATTCAAAAATGTTGTCACCTGTAGAAGGGGCAGAAAACCACATATGTCCACTGCTGGGCCCATGCTCGCCCGGCACATGCTCCTATACAGGTATGCGAGAACAGCAACACCCCAACTGTACTGGGGTAAACCATCCAGCTCCTGAAGATGATGGAGAAAGCTCATACTCAGTTTACTCCCAGAATTGTTCGGGAACAAGACACACCCGAAAAGCAGGAGCAGCGCCAACCGCGTGTACCTCTCAATATGGAGATCCTCCGTCTCGCCGGTAATGTCTGGGTGCAAAAACGCCATATGATCTCTGATGGCTGACAAAGCAACGCGACTGCCCCTAGCGTCACCCTGAGGTCTATAACCAGTAAAATGCCTCATCATATCCAAAAACTGTGCACGCGTCATGGATCTAATGTACTAGGGCAGTGCTACGGCCCGTCCATGTACGCACAGCCCGTACAAAACCTGAACATCCTCCAGCATGATGGTGGCCTCTCCAGTGGGCAAGTGAAAAATGTGCGTCTCCGATCTCCACCGCTCTACCAAGGCCGTGATGAGAGACCAATCAAGCTGCATCCGTCCACAACTCAAAAATCGTATAGAAGCTCGTAGCCTGTAGGTGCGCGACTACGCGGGCATGGAAAGGATGCTCCCCGATGAACTCCCACAAATCGTCAGGTCTCCTGGGGCGGAGCGGCTGCATCGATAGCTGTCCCTCCCATACAAAGGAGGACCTATGGTTGCCCTGCAACACTAGTAGCTGATCCTCGGTAGGTCCGGGATGCGCAGGCGGAGGAAAGTCCACGTCGTCTACTATAATTTAAACAAAATTAATTGTGTGTGTTAGCTTAATAAATTAAATAATTAATTATATTTAAAATTGGACTGAATAATTATGTATGTGTTCCAGGCTCGATATTTGAGGCCCGGTAGCACCGAGTTATCCTTAATTATTATGCGTGTCAATTTCAATATTTTTAGAATTGTGTGTGTTAGCTTAATAAAATAAATAATTAATTATATTTAAAATTGGACCGAATAATTATGTATGAGTTCCAGGCTCGATATTTGAGGCCCGGTAGCACCGAGTTATCCTTAATTATTATGCGTGTCAATTTCAACATTTTTAGAATTGTGTGTGTTAGCTTAATAAATTCAATAATTAATTATGTTTAAAATTGGACTGAATAATTATGTATTGGTTCCAGACTCGATATTTGAGGCCCGATGGCACCGAGTTGTCCTTAATTATTATGCGTGTCAATTTCAATATTTTTAGAATTGTGTGTGTTAGCTTAATAAATTAAATAATTAATTATATTTAAAATTGGACTGAATAATTATGTATGGGTTCCAAGCTCGATATTTGAGGCCCAGTAGCACCGAGTTATCCTTAATTATTATGCGTGTCAATTTCAATATTTTTAGAATTGTGTGTGTTAGCTTAATAAATTAAATAATTAATTATGTTTAAAATTGGACTGAAAAATTATGTATGGGTTCCAGGCTCGATATTTGAGGCCCGGTAGCGCCGAGTTATCCTTAATTATTATGCGTGTCACTTTCAACATTTTTAAAATTTTGTGTGTTAGCTTAATAAATTAAATAATTAATTATGTTTAAAATTGGACTGAATAATTATATATGGGTTCCACGCTCGATTTTTGAGTCCCAGTAGTACCGAGTTATGCTTAATTATTATGCGTGTCAATTTCAACATTTTTAGAATTGTGTGTGTTAGCTTAATAAATTAAATAATTAATTATGTTTAAAATTGGACTGAATAATTATATATGGGTTCCACGCTCGATTTTTGAGTCCCAGTAGTACCGAGTTATGCTTAATTATTATGCGTGTCAATTTCAACATTTTTAGAATTGTGTGTGTTAGCTTAATAAATTAAATAATTAATTACGTTTAAAATTGGACTGAATAATTATGTATGGGTTCCAGACTCGATATTTGAGGCCCGGTAGCGCCGAGTTATCCTAAATTATTATGCGTGTCAATTTCAACATTTTTAGAATTTTGTGTGTTAGCTTAATAAATTAAATAATTAATTATGTTTAAAAATGGACTGAATAATTATGTATGGGTTCCAAGCTCGATTTTTGAGGCCCGGTAGTACCGAGTTATCCTTAATTATTATGCATGTCAATTTCAACATTTTTAGAATTGTGTGTGTTAGCTTAATAAATTAAATAATTAATTATGTTTAAAATTGGACTGAATAATTATGTATGGGTTCCAGGCACAATATTTGAGTTAATTTTACAACATATATTAATTTGTTACTTTTGTAAGTTTATTGTTATAAATTAAATAATTAATTTTGTAAAGTGTAATTGGATAGAGTTTGCAGTTACTACATAGACTCTTCGCTAAAAGGCTCTACATTTTACTACGCTAAAATGCTCTATATTTTACAACACTAACAAGCTCTATATTTTACTACGCTAAAAGGCTATTTATTTTACTACGCTGAAAGATCAATATTACATATAAAAACAACTAACATAAAATACAAATATGAACAACAAACAAAATAAATAATATTAATTTTTTAACAATACAAATAATTTATCAAATTTTAATAATTTTTTGTACCAAAGCTAATAAATCAATCCGGGTATAAATAAGATACAAATTTAAACACAAACATAACACAAATTAACATGGAAACACATTAAACAATACAAATATGCATGTACTATACGAGTTTCGACATAAACAAAATCGAAATACCTTGATTTAAGTTTTTTGAATTTGATTGAAATCGAATTTTTGCACCCGAAAGAAGGAATCCAAAGCTTGTCTTGTATGTGGGACCTACACTCCTTGCTCTTTAGGTGACGGGTGGGGGGACCAGCAGAATCGGAATTTTTAAAAGAGGGGGTGCGTCGGTTCAGTGGTCCAAGGAAGAAGAAGGAGGTTTATTTTATTAAAGTTGTTCACAGTATTATACTGCGTTTTACTTTATAAAATGCAGTATAGTACTGCGAACAACTTTAATAAAATATAGCTGGACCCATATTTTGAGTAAAACACAGTATAATACTGCGAATTACAAAAAAAAAAAAAGAATTTAAAGTAAAACGCAGTATGGTACTGCGTTTTACTTTAACGATTAAATTTCGGTTAAAATAGTTCGGAGTATAGTACTGCATTTTACTCATTTATGTAACTTTTTTTTAAGTAGTAGAAAAGTATTTTTTGTCCAAAAAAAATCATTAGAAAAGTGTTTGTTGTCCCTCAAAAAGAATTATTCACATTAACAGAGATGTCGACTCGTTTGAGTTAATCACCACATGATTGGCATTAATATTTTCTATTTTATAGAAGACCGAATGGCATTCCCTATTCATGCAATGTCGACTGTCGACTCGTGATAAAAATATTACTTAGTTTTGATACAAAAGGATGGGAGTTATATAAAAAGAAAATTCTTGTTGAGATTGTCTTCTTCCTACACACTAAGTACTACTTCTTATCAGTATTCCGACAGCTTATATCCTACACCCAGGGAAAATCATATATACTGTGTAAGCATGACAAGACAAATATATATATATATATATATATATATATATATCTAGAGACTGTTGTATCCTTGTAGCTGCAAGTTCTATAATTGCATATATTACGGCACTTCTACTGTTAGCTCCATCTATCTGAATGAACTATATCCACTCAAATTCAATTGTTTCCATCAATTTATCCAAAACTTAGATTTTGATCGGGGCGGCTCAATAGCTTTCGACGCCTACAGCAAAGTCTTAANTGATTGCACCTCAACTGAAATGAGAGAACCCAGAAAAAATATACTCTCTCTGTTCTGATTTATTTGACACTTCTTTTTTAGTCAGTCCCAAAAAAATACATTTTTATATTTGGTAATAATTCAACTTTAAATTTCTATTTTTCCCTTAATGAGATGATTTCTAGCTACACAAGTTTCTATGATTTATTTTGGATTACAAGTTTCAAAAGTCTTTTTTTCTTTAACTCCATGCCTAGTCAAACACCTTCATATAAATTTGGATGGAGGGAGTATAACTTATGTGAGGAAAATAAATAATAAGTAAGATTATTAGATATAGTTACATGACTAACTAATGAATAGAGAAAAATAATTCAGTAAGAATATAAATAAGATTGGCAGAAAACTAATTTGGTTATACTAATTAGAGGAAGAAACAAACATTAATATGAAAACAAAAAAATAAATTTATCAATAAAAAGAAATAATTATATAAATTATATATTCCCTCCGTTTCAGTTTATGTGAACCTATTTCCTTTTTGATTCGTTTAAAAAAGAATGATCCCTTTTTAAATTTGAAAACAATTTAGCTTAAACTTCCAATTTTATCCTTAATGAGAAGCTTTTATAACAACACAAATATTCTGGGACCCATTTTAACTTGTTTAGGACCACAAATTCTAAAAGTCTTCATTTTTTCTTAAACTCCATGCTCAACCAAACAGGTTCACATAAATTGGAACAAAGGAAGTACTATATATATATAGAGAAATAGTAATTTTGGGGCCCTTAAATTCTTGGGACCCAAAGCAAGTGCTTCACTCGCTTTAGGCTCTAGCCTGCTCTGATTTCGATACTCTTTTTTTTAATGACAACAAGAATAAAAGAACAAGCAAGATGCTTTTCGTAAACATACACACAAAATGCATCAAAATTTCTCTAGTTCAAAAAATATATATATATATACAGCATTCATCTTACTTTGTCAAACTAATAAATTATAACGTCATACATATTCCATGGCCAACAAATATGAAGTTATAGTTGTTGTTGTGCCCTTTCCAGCACAAGGTCACCTCAATCAATTACTTCATCTCTCTCGTCTCATTTGTTCTTATAAAATTCCAGTACACTATGTTAGTACCAAAAATCATACTCTCCAGGCCAAAATTAGAGCCCAAGGTTTAAGCCCTATAGCTATGAACAACATTCATTTCCATGAATTTTCAATATCTTCATTTCAGTCACCACCTCCAAACCCTAATTCCACCATTAAATTCCCTTCACACCTTCAACCTTCATTCGAATCATCGTCGTCTCATCTTCGAGAGCCTGTGGCTTCACTTCTACGATTTTTATCATCAAATGCACGTCGAATTGTTGTTATTCATGACTCTCTAATGGCTTATGTTGTTCAAGATTTCACTTCACTACCAAATGCTGAGTCTTACAACTTTCATAGTGTGTCAGCTTTTACTATTTTCTTGTTCCTATGGGAATCTATGGGAAAGCCTTTCCCTATTGAAGCTCAAATACTAGAAAACCTACCATCTCTTACAGGTTGTTTTTTATATTGGATTTAAGTTATATAATATAAAAGTTTTTCATACTATCATTTTATTTTAATCTGTGATAGCAGGTCAGTTTTATATTGGATTTAAGCTATATTCGCTGTCATTCAATATAAAAAAAACTATCATTGAATTCTAATATGTGATAGCAGGTCCGTAACCATTTTTATCAAAGTAGCGATTAATGTCATTAAGAAATTTATTTGTAATTATGCTATAATTGACCTGATTGAATAACTATTTTTAACATCGTCAGTACATAGAACTTAAACTCATTTATGCATGTTTACTTTTTGTCAAACACCCTAACAGATCTTGGGTGTAAATTTGTTGAATTTACTGTGATCTCTTACTTTTGTTAGCTCTTTATTTGTTTTACCATCTCTCTTATTTACTTATTTTTGTAATTTTGAAGGTTGTTTTACGTCAGAGTTCATGGATTTCATGGCTGCACAAAGGAAATACTCAAATTCTGACTCTGGAAATATTTACAACACAACCAGAGTCATAGAAGGAAAATTCATGAATTTACTAGAAAAAGAACCAATCAAAAGAAACAAAATGCACTGGGCTATAGGTCCATTCAATCCAGTGATGACTACTACTTCCAGCAACAATTCATCAATCGGGCAACGTCACAAATGTTTGACATGGCTTGATAAACAATCTCCAAAATCTGTCATCTTTATTTCATTTGGAACAACAACATCATTAACTGATGAACAAATCAAAGAGCTCTGTATAGGATTAGAAAGAAGTGACACAAAGTTCATTTGGGCATTGAGAGATGCCGATAAAGGAGATATTTTTTCAGGAGAAGTGAGAAAATTTGAACTTCCAAACGGGTATGAAGAAAGAATTAAGAATAAAGGAATAATAGTAAGAGATTGGGCACCGCAATTGGAGATATTAAGACATTTTTCGATTGGTGGATTTATGAGTCATTGTGGATGGAATTCGTGCATGGAGAGTTTTTCAATGGGAGTTCCTATTATTGCATGGCCCATGCATTCTGATCAGCCAAGAAATAGCATTTTAGTAACGAAATTTCTGAAAGTTGGAATTCTTGTGAACAACTGGGAACGTAGAAATGAGGTTGTAACATCAAATACTGTTGAAAGAGCTGTGAAAACACTGGTGTCGAGCAATGAAGGAAACGAGATTCGTAAAAGAGCGGCGGATTTAGGAGTGACTATTCGGAAGTCGGTGGTGGAAGGCGGCGTGACAAGGAAGGAATTGGACTCTTTCATTGGTCACATCACTAGATAAATATAATTACTGTTAAGTTATGTTCCTTTTACTTCCGTTTATGCCACCGCGCGAGTTATTTCATACGGTATGTTTTAAGAAGAATATAATCACTCATTTTTAATATTGCAAATAATTTAATTTAAAATATTCTTATAGGCGTACAAAACATTATAATAAAAGCACTAGTTTTGATATAACCAGTGTTATGATATGTTTAAGATTACTAGTTACAAAAGTATTCATTTTTTTCTTTAACTTGTGGTCAAGAAAACATGTTCATATAAAATAATAAAACTATATATTTAATATATATTTCTGTGTAAAAAAGTTTTTACATTATCAGTTTACTTTAACTTCTTATAGTAGCTTATCTACTTTTTACTTTTGAGGTTATTAGATTCATCTTTTCTAAAATGATTAGTGCTACTTGTTGTCTACCCATTTGTTTTTCTACCCATAAACTAATTATATTTTCTACCCATAATAAGTTTTGTGGGGAATTTTCTCTTTATTCTCCAATTCTTTTTTATTTCTATGTTTCTTTTCTTTTCTTTTTCTTTTCTCCTTTTCTTTTTTCTCGCTTTCTTCTTATTTTTTTCTTTTTTCCTATTCTAATTTCATTTAACTTTTTTTTTAAATTCTTTTTCTCTTAATAATCTAATTTCATTTACTATTTTCAGTATTTTTTATTATTCTTTTTTTTATATTATCACTAAAGAAAAATCAATTTGTGTACCAATTAAATGCAGCTAATACAACCAAAAAAATATTAACTAACATTTGATACCAGTATAGTATATAGTTATACCAACAGGGTATACAATTTTATGCAAAGAGTTAAAAAAAATTTAATTCAATTATTAAATTGAAATAATATCAGCTGTCAATAAAAATTTCAAAAAATTCTAAAAGGATCTAATTGTAAGAGTATATCGTTACATTATATAACATACTATAATATTTTTATTTTATTTCTTTTGCATTTTTAATTTGCCTCTCACGCTGGGTAAAAGCTTAAAGCAAATTAAAAGGAAAAAGGCAAGTGAATTTACGGGTAATAAGTATACTATTATAGTATATTGTATATTATTACAACATATTGTTACAGTATATTGCATATTATTACAGTATACTATAATAATATATTGTATACTATAATAGTATACTATTGCAGTATAGCTATATACTCCTACAACATATTGTATACTGTAGCGGTATACTGTAGCTGTGTTCTTCTTCGATTTTCAAATGAAAATTTAGATCTCAATCACCTCAAATAAGCTCCAAATGCTATCAAATTTCAGTATGAACTTCTAGAAGGTACTATAAGCAATATTTAACAGCACCCACTTTGAATCAAACAAGAAATCTTCAAAAATAAAATTGAGCTTCAAGCCCAATAATGGTGAATGTTAAAATACACATAAAAATTTAGATCTAGGAAGCTTACTCGAAGATACTATAAGCAATATTTTATAAAACCACATCGAATCAAACAATAAATCTTCAAAATAGTAGTACCACTTCAACAAAGCAATCATGAAAGAAGAGGCGAATGGTGGCAGGGCCAGAGGCAGGGGCATCTTTGAACATCTGGGAGGTTACTGAGCCAACGAGAATTTCAACTTTAGGACAAGTCCTGGCATAGCAGTTATGTAAACGCATGGGTAAACAAGGATGAACTTGTTGGGACTAACCATGTGAATATTAATCAGACCTCACTACTGAATATGGACAAGGATTTCTTATCATCTTCCTTAATAGAATTGATGATCAAAGCAACTTCCTTCATGTTTGGCGTTGCATCTGGTGATGGCCTTACAAGGATTATTTTTTATATAGGAAAAAATACGATGGGTATAAAGTGAGGAAGGTAAAATGAGGAGGAGGAAGAAGAAAGGTGGGTAAATAGTTTGGGGAGCATGGGTAGGAGTAGTAAATAGTTTTGGTCTGGGCATTAAAGGGTAAATAGTTTGGAATTAATGGGTATAAAGTGAGATTTTCTCCGAAAATAAGGATTTAGATGGGCCGTGTAGTGCTTGTGGGATGTCGGCATTCGAAAATTGGTAAAAGTTTGTTTTGCTTAATTTGATTTGAAGTTCTAACGCACACTACTCCATGTGCCTTGTCTATGGATGTTCTGACACGGCACATCAAGGGAGGTGCCATGTTGCATGTTATAATTCGCGGATGACATAGTACTATTTGACAAGATGTCTGGCGGTGCTAACACGAAGGTTTAGAGGCATACGCTGGAGTTAAAAGGTTTCAAGTTGAGCAGGAATAAAACTGAGTACTTGAAATACAAATTCAATGACATGACTCGTGAAGTGGACGTAGAAGTGAAGCTGGATTCACAAGTCATCTCTAAGAAAGAGAGCTTCATGTATCTCAGATCGCTAATCGAAGGTAGTGCAGAGATTGACGAGGATATCACACATCAGAATGGAGAGAGGTGGGTCGAAAGATGGCTCGCTTCTAGGGTTTTATGTGGTAAGAAGGTGCCAAACAAGGCTTAAAGGCAAGTTTTATAGAATGATGGTTAGAGCGACTATGTTGTATATGACAGAGTACTGTTGGCCTGTCAAGAACACCCATGTCCAAATGATGAAAATAACAGAAATGAGAATGTTGAGATAGATGTGTGGACATACCAGGAGAGATAAGATTAGGATTGAAGATATTTGGGACAAGGTGGGAGTGGCCCCCGTGGGAGACAAAATGCGGGAAGCTAGGCTGAGTTGATACAGGCATGTGAAGAGGAGGTGCATAGATTCCCCAAGGATATGTGAGAGGTTGGTCATGGTGGGGCAGAGGATAAGTAGATGTAGGCCAAAGAATTATTGGAGAGAGGTGATTAGGCATAACATTGCACAACTTTAGCTTATTGAGGACATATCCCTTGATATGAGGGAGTTGAGATTGAGAATTAGGGTAGAAGGTTAGTAGACAGGCAGGAACATCTCCTTTGCATGTTGGTAGCATTAGTATTAATCTCATATTTTCATATTTTCTTATCCGTAGATCTTTTTTCTATATGTTGGTTCTTTCGCTTCAGTTATTCTATCACCATGTCAACTTACCACCCTATCTTCCTATTATTAATACTTGTTGTGTCGTTTCTTTTTTATTTTTCCCTTGAGTTAGAGGTCTATATGAGGTAGACCCTCTACCTTCACAAGGTAGGGGTAAGGTCAGCATATACTGTACCCTCTCCAGCCCCACTTTGTAGTCTTATAGAGTATTTGTTATTGTTGTTGTTGTTGTTGTTGTATACAAAGTAGGATGAATTTATATTTCTTCCTTGTGCTTCATAATTACATTAATTTTTTCGAGGATCGCAAGTTAAGTGGAAATGCATATTGATTAACTAACCATAGTTAGACCATAGATTTTTTATTGAGATGATATACTTGATAATTAGTTGGTAGTTATGTTAGTTAGTGTGATAGCTTGTGATAGCTGGCAACATAGTGGACTGCTTTATGTGTGTATATATACAATGTTGATAATAATGAAAGACTTAAACTTCATTTCATCAAACATTTCACTCCTTCCTCCACTCTCTTCTAATGCTGAGTTATAGAAGCTTCACTGCTCCACCATTGCAGGGATGATCGAGATCATTCCTATTGACTTTCAGTGTCAATTTTGACATGGTATCAGAGCGAGGTTAATCTCGCATATTGTTTTTCCCTGCGACTTTCATTCTCGATTCATCTCGTTGTTCGATTCTGTTGGATTTCAAGTTTTGCCCTAATTTTTAGGGGTTTCATTTGCATGTCAGTAAACTGCTGTCAGAAATTGTGATAATTTAAATCTTTTTGCTTTTCTTCATCGATTATACTCAATCATGGATGTTGTTGACCAAGAGAATTCGATCGTGGTAGATATTAGTGCTACTGTTACTATACCAAGAAAAGGCATCGATCCAAGCAATCCTCTATATCTTCATCCATCTGACAATCGTGGAGCTATGCTCATCTCAACTACTTTTGATGGAATAGGATACAGGTCTTGGAGAAGGAGTGTATTGAGGGGATTATTTGTGAAAAAAAAATTAGGATTCTTAAGTGGCGAGTGCAAGCAACCATATCCTTTGTCACTACAATCTCGCCAATGGGAGCGATGTGATAATATGGTGACTTCCTAGAGCCTACCTTTCTAAGGAAATTGCAAATAGTGTAGAGTATGCGGATGATATTGTTGAACTTTGGAAGGAGTTGGAGGATAGTTATGAACAAACTAATGGAGCTATGTTGTATAAAATTCAAAATGAAATTAACGACCTTTCTCAAGGAACTCTTGATATTAATACTTACAATACTAAATTGAATAAGCTTTGGGAAGAGCTCACTACTCTGAGTAAGAGGACTCAATGTAGTAGTACTTGTAATTGCGGTGCAAAGGAGACTGATACAATTCCTTATGGGATTGAACGAGGTTTGCACTATAGTTCGAGGCAACATACTTATGATGAACCCATTGCCAAGTCTACCACAAGCTTTTTCACTCTTAGTTCAGGATGAGAAGTAACGAGAAATTAGGCCAGCCAATCAATTAGCAATTGAGTCAACTTCACTAAACGTGAATACATCAGGACAAGGTTCCTTCAAGACAAATTTTCATGCAAATAACAATTACAATGGTAATATAAGAGCTCGATTCATATATGACTTTTCTAAGAAGCCAGGGCATAGTAAGAAATGATGTTACAAACTATATGGTTACCCATATAATGGTCAGAATTCTGGCCAAAACTTCACTCCCAGACACTTTCAAGATGGTCAATATCATGGTCAGAATCGCAGATACAATGAAGGCAAAAGAATAGTTGCAAATGTACAAGGAACTTCTAATGAAGTTTTGACTGCTAAGGTGTCACGACCCCAATTTTTCTCTATAAGATGTCGTGATGGCACCTAATATCTAAAACTAGGTAAGCCTAACATAAATATGGAATATAACTGAAATAACGAATAAAATCTCAAATGCTCAATGACTATAATAAAGAAAAGATCTGCAACTCAACATATACAAACTTCCCAAAACCTGGTGATAGCAAGTCACAACCTCTATGAATAAGTACTAATC